ACCTTGGTGTCATAACAGTAGAAATACTACTCGAGAGGGATGTTTTCGGCATCGATGGATAGGCTAAGTCCATATAAAACCGTTTACCATTTACATCGACCGTTCACGTCAGCGACGAGATCTGCCTCAAATTCTAGAGCTCAGCAAGCTGAACCGAATGGTGAAAACCGCAAGTCTCCAGCCTTGTTAGAACAGAAGCTATAGACGTTTTACCGTCGTAGCAGAAAAATGCATTTTCATCATTTTCCGGCGGATTAAAAGGCTTCTGAAAGAAACTTTAAGTTCACTAGGTTTTCTAGAAAACAGGCTTTTTCAAAAATCTCGATCTCAGACGGCGACATGTAGCATAACTTTTCTGGAGTGGTTACCGATAAACTGGCTGCACCGTGTAAGCGATGAATGCTGTTGACCTATCGATTTGTGGAGGTCGGGGCCAGTATTTCTACTGTTATGACACCAAGACCACACTTGTTCTCAGTAATGTATATATCATTTTGTAGCCCGTGAAGTTCTGTATCGAATGATATACAGTAGTTGAGGTTTGCTTTGGGCAAAGGGAAGAAATAAGGAAAATACTCTAAATAAAGTTCAATTAAGGGGAGAAAAGTTTAGATGCGGAATTTTTTTCAGGGGGGGGATGAAAATGGAGGTGCTAGTTTTAATTACGGAGAAAAACTACATCAGACTTATGAATATGAGCTTGATCTGAGAGGGGGCTGATTTTGCCTCTTATCGACCCCCGTCCTAACCCGTCCCCGTCGCCTTTATCTCTGAAAACTGGCTGGTTTTAATTCATGCTTATAGAGCCATACAGAAAAATTGAACTCTGCGAAGATAATCATGTATTTCTGAATTTAAAAGACATCTTTTGTTATTCTAGACCCGTGTGCTAGTCACACATGGTATATCTCATTTACATAAATGTGATGAAATTTTTGTTGTTAATGACGGGGAGATTGTTGATCATGGTCCATATCATGAATTAATTACTAAAAGTAAAATATTACAAGAATTAGTTTATTCAACTATTAAATCAGAAGATCAACATGGACCAAATGATGCTGGTAAGCCTTGTATAATTCAAATGTTACCTTATCTTGGAGTGAAAGACATTGCATCTAGTTTGGGCATGCTTCTTGCGGTCAAAATACTTTTCTCTATTCTGTTTTTTGTGTTGATTACTGAGTTGTCTGTTCATCAGGCATTTAGTCTGTGTACTTTGCACGAAGATGAAAAGGTGAACACTTAACGAAATTGCATGACAGGAAAATATATTTTGAAATGATTGCCGGTGAAATTGCCTGAAACAGTTAGAGAGGTTTTTTGCTTAGTAGTATAGAAGGTAGACAACTATACAGATATAGATTTCACTCCTTTGTCTCCAACTTCGAACTCAAAGATTCGGTTCGGTGCATCCTTATTTGCAAGAAGTATTCACCTTAAATTATTCCTGTTTTGAGGAAATTGACTGAAAAAAAGTCAGATTTCGAGAACCCAATCACCTAGAACGATAAAATTTGAGATTTAAAGCTAATTTTGTATAGTTACCTACTTGAGATACGTGTCACTCGAAAACCAACTAACGTGTGCCATTCTCCATAGCAGATGCATAGTGTCGAATCGAAATCCTGGAGGTACGCCAATACGGCCTTCGCCCGCTACACGTTCGCTAACTGCAAAAGTCCACTTGACTTTCGTCAATTCGTGAGCGACCATGGAGGATATTGGTGGAAGTTCAGTGTACTTCACTACTACAATTGGCCAAAGTACACTGGCGGTATTGGCGAAAGTCCGTTTGGATATCGCCAATTATGGGTTGAATTGCATTGTCCCGCAGTTCAAGTCACATCTGCACTGTAAAAAATAAAATGTGTAAATGACACACATAAAGTGAACGCCAAGTCGATTCCTAGTGACCGTCTAGAAAACGGGAACACTTAGAAGACTTACACACCTAGTAACACACTTTATTTTATACAGTATGCTTTTAAGCAATCCTGACAGGGCTCAGTAACTTGGCCGAAGTTCGACTCCAACTCCGGGTTTTTTTTTTCCTTTGTATAGCTAAAAAGATGATGAAATCTATACTGATGAAGAAGTGTACAGTCAATGTACAAAAGAATGAATAAGCAAGATAGAATCTAAGAAAGAAACGACGTCACACATACACAAACGTCTGACACATGAGAGTGATATGATTGCTCAAAATCGAAAGCGTTTTTGAAGTCCAACTCTAGCTCTTCTGAAGCCAACTTCCATTCCAACTCTCTAAAGTCAACTCCACTCTACTTAAAATCCGGAGTTGGAGTTGCTCAGTCCTGAACCTCGTTTAAAAAAATCCAACTTGCATTGTGAAACAATGTAACTGAATTATTGGCAAAAAACCATGAGTTGTACTGGTGAAAGTTCAGTATACTTTCGCCACTGGCGAAAATACACTAGTGGTATTGGCGAAAGTTTAGAGGAGGCGAAAGTAAACTGGATTTTCACGATTTGCCGAAAGTGATATTGGTGTACAAATAATTCTTTCGGTACTGTCCCGCACTTTACATGAAGGTCTGCCGCAAAAATTGAGACATATCTCATTTGAAAGAGCATCTAATTGTGAGTATAAATGTATAAAAAAAAAGAAGTTTTTAAACATCCGTACGGGGTTCTGAGGAGGTCCGACATTTGGGGATCTTATAGATTTCAAGGCGCAATTCATACTTAATTATCTCAGAAATGACAAAAGCGACAAAGCTGAACGCTTTAGGATATAGACTAGATACAACAAGAAACAAAATGACTCATTTAAATACGTTTCAAAATATTTCATTGCTCTACTACACTTGTTCTACGATGTTGAAAATCCGTCGGTTTGAATTGCATTTTTCACAATCAGATCGAGCTCTAAACTCAAAAGTGATGTATGTATCAGGTTCTTCGTTGTTAATCCTATCTCGAAATGTAGTGTTAATGTTTAATTGTTCATACAATCGCTACTGTAAGTTTGCTGAGAGCCATTTTTCTCAAGCGTTACGGTACTTATTTGATTTTTGATGATACTCCAAGCTATTTTTAACTACATTCTTTCCATTTTTGTTGTCCTCAATGCACATTTTCGGGCTCTACACGTTTTTAAACATATGAATCAACTGAGATTCTAATACCTTAACGTCACTTTTTCAGATATAGGTCTCTGAAATTGCGGAAATAGGCTTCCTCAAAAAGTCGATGTTCGCTAAACGAATCGATTCGAGTGTATAGCCCTAAGTTTCACACAATGTGCAATTAACGTCCTAATATAAATGACTTTTGCAATCCGCTGCAACATACGATAAAGATTCGTGATATGTTGACAATTTTCATTTTACTATTGGTTTTCTTGGAATAGATAATTTTGTTAGATCATTAGCATCACGTGAATGACATATATAATTATATTTAGAATAAATTAATACTCTGTTATATGCAAATATACGTTTTGTTCGAGGCTTCTTAACTGAGATCACTTTTTTGATAAAATGTGTAACATAAAAATCAACATCAAAGAAACATCACAAGGCGGGAAGTGAAAAATGAGAGTGAGTAGAAAAATAGTGATCTCTATTAAGAATGAGCCGTTTTATTTTATGTGAAGAAAGTAATTTCTCTGTAACTGATAAAGAACTGTTAGTTTTTCTTTTTTTAAAAAATACGATTATGTATAAATTGATGGCAGGATATATATTGTATTTTTCTTGAGCTAGCAGCAACAGATGGAAGAAATATTTTTTTGTTACTGTTAAATCTAACGGTAAATCTAAATTAGAGTTATCACCCTGTTTCTTATGTTATTTTTTCTTTCTTTTGTTATAACAGCGCAAGTGTGACAAGTTTGTACAGTTCTTCTGTAAAGTAACATTTAATTTTTCTTTCTTTCTTTTGTACAGCCACTTTTCAGTCAGCCTTAGGCTTTACCTAAGTCATTTCTTTTTCTCATGTTTTCTGTACCAGTATATAAACAGTAGTTTTTTTCATTTTTAAGAAGAGAAGGAGGGGTGATAGCGTAACAGTTCGAGTGTGAGTGCATCATAGTGATAATATATGTTAAATTCTTCTCCTTCGCTGTTGGTACACTTGTGAATATTATATTCATACCACATGCAAAAAACCTTGTTTTACGTTTTTCTATAGAGAAGCTAAAAAAAACTATATTGATGGTAAACATTTCATCTTGTAACTCAAGATTATTGTAAAATTAGAGGTTGAGCAGTGTTTGAAATCTGATAATAAATAGGTTTCTAACCGAAAGCTTTCTATGATAGGCACTAGTCATTGATAGAGTAATTAACTAAGATGATTCTGCTCTTATTTTGTAGAGAATTTGATTCTATATGTGATAAAAATTTAGTATCGACTCATGCAAATGTAGTTGAGAGATATAGATAATAATATAATAGAAGAACCAGATTCGTTGGAAGTGAGCTCCTTACAAGTCATGTTATTTTAAAGCTAAGGCTAAAAATGTCCAGGGTCTGATTTTGTGATTTCATATTCACACATCACCCACGACAAAAAAATAGTTAAAAAAAGAATAAGATGTGGGGTGGCCTCTGGAAAAGGCACCAACTCTTTTGACAACAGATCGTCTAATTCTTGATTTTTGCGTAAGTTTAGGGATTTATTTGTCTGAAACGGCCATATTTTTGAATATGAATTCAGTGATTTTGAAACATTTCTATGAGGATGCTTCAACTTTATAGTTAACTGTCTCACAAAACTCATAAAGCGCTATCAATGACAGTGGGAATGTTCGGTTCGCTGTTCGTACGAGGAGCACGATCCATGACTCTCTATCATACATAGCCAAAGTCAGAACTGGAGCTAAACCTTTATTTTTTCTTTCGCGACTGCTTCGCTGACCAAATCAACATCAGATTCTTAATCTAGACATAAAACCGCCGTCGGCTGATATCTGGCCGTAGACTTCATGAATGAAATTTTTTAATACCACATTATAATATTTAATACCACATTTGATACTACTAGAGATACTTAGAAACATACCTACACAGAAATCTCGTATTCTGTAGAGAAGATGAATACGCCATTTTGTACTACTCTTTGAGCCTGCAAAATTATAAATTTTCAGTTTGAAAACAAAATTTCCTAAATTTAGGTCTGTTGAGTCTATTGCTATATATCAGTCGATGGTGATTTTATTTGTAGATTAAGAACCTAATGTTGGTTTGGTTATACACAAAATGTAAAAATTGAGAGAACTGAATAAAAGGCATCAAAAAATATATCGATTTTTTAATTATGACTTTATACTGAGAGCATATCCAAGCACAAAGATTTTTGATAAGAAGGTGTTTCTCTATTTGAATCAACTTTGTTTGAAAATGTGTGAACCAACAAGTACTAGAAAAAGTCAATATTTTTCAGTAGCGTGGCTCCACAGCTCAGTTGTTCGCCTCGTACTTCAGAGTTATTGTGTTCGAATCTTGGGGCCTGCAAAGTCACATATTAACTTTAGGCAAGTTACTCAATCTCAGATAACTCTTGTGATAGGATGTTTATTACAACGTGGGTTACAACAATTTTCTGGCTTGTCAGAAACCTAGTACATGGTTAGTAAGCTGTATGGAGAGATCGAATAAAAGATGTCAGACAACTTTCGGTCCAGAGTTGGGCTTTCATCGATGCTTGTAATAGAATGGGTGATCACCTATGAAGAATGTTGGCTGTAAGGAAGATATTTGGCTATATGTTTTTATTCTTTTATTTAAAAAATAGAACCTAAAACTCCACCAGCATCAGCAGAAGTTGGAGGTATTCTGCATTTTTCTGACAATGATAAAACACAGCCAAAAGTTGAATTAATAGATGAAGAAAAGAAATTAATACAAAAAGAACAAGTTGAAACTGGAAGTGTAAGTATAGTTTAATAGTCTATAAAAGCTGTTATGTTTCTCTTGTTTTCGCTCCCTGCTCCTGTAACCAGCAAGACTTAGTCGTGATGTCTGCTAATACAAAAAGTAGCACTTTCAGGAACATCATTAATCTGATTCCTTTGTAAATAATGTTACATAAAAACGACATATTCAGAAGCGCAATTTTGGTTGAAAAAATGTTAGTTTCGACCAATCTTTGCTGATAGACAATACTGAGGCATTCATGTAAAATAACTTTTTTATAAGCTACTATCCATCCCAAAATATAGTGCAGGTTGTCATTTTTTGAATGACTCAGGGAGAAAACAGGATAGAGAGTTGTGATTTTTTTCATTCGCTAACCAACACCTAAACCTATGTTTTCATAAGCAAAAATAAATTTGGAAAAAATTTCTAAGGTCGGTTTTTTAGGACATCTGTAGAAAATCAGTTCGGTTCTCTGAAACTTAACATATAAATCTATGGATTTTTTTCATAGATATATAGTCCGAAGTATCTTCTACAAAACTGGATCCTAGCATCATCTTGGAAATTCATGGTTTCGGAGCTATCGAAGTTTTCTTTGATGTCATAGTATTCCTCTGTCGTTAGCTTTGGGACTGTCAGAACTGAATAAAAACATAGGTTATCGCTGAATCTCGTGGCAATATTGGTTTTCAGAAAAAATGCAACAACCGAGTGAAAACCTATACTAGGTGAAATAACCCATTTTTGATTATTTTCATTAAAAATTAAAAATTCATAGTTCAGTCAAAACGCATCTAACCTACAGAAAATACTCTATTTTGTCTGAATTACAAAAAAGCTCAATAAATATTTTAAAAACCAACAGAAAATACTTTGGTTGTTAGAAATCTTCGAAACTAAGGAAATATTTTTATTGTTTTTTAAAGTACAGAATCAGAATGAGCGGATAATATAGAGTATTTAATCCAAGGGGGAAACAGCAGAATTTCAAGCAGCTGTGGACTCCCAGACCTACAGAAGCCTGAAAAATCCTATACAAATTTCCCAAAGTTCGAGAAACTGGAGGAATCCCTGAGAGTACAAGAAAAAATCGGAAAAACGGATTAGAATCGGATGAAATCCCGAAAATCTGTAAAAATGACTGAAAATGGGGCTAAGCGGAACAAACGCGGGAAAAGTCAAAGACAGTCAGGAAAATTCTTCGGGTTCAGCGCAGTCACGAAGAATACCAAGGAGTCTCCAGGAGTACAACAAAATTTGAAAAAAATTGATTGCCTGTGGAACGGCGACCAGATTACAAAAGTCACAAAATTTGCTGTTTCTCCCTTGATTTAACCGCAACTCTCTAGCATGTTTCCCCCCTACGTTATTCAAAAAATGACAACTAGCACTATATTTTGGGATGGATAGTAGTTGGAATCATAAATCAGACATTTCGAATGCTCAAATTCTCAAAATGTCAATTTTTCCTGAGTAAAAAATAGTGAAAAATACTTTTTTTTTCACTCATATTAACTTTTTACTCTGTTTAGGTTAAATTTAGTGTATATGTTACTTATATACGAGCACTGGGTACAGTTATGGTTATATTGATATTTATATTTTTTTGTTTAACCGCTGTGGCTCACTTATGTACTAATATTTGGTTATCAAAATGGACAGATGATTCGAAAAATGAAGTGAATAATAATACATCAAAACGCATTCGAGGCTTAGGTATTTATTGCGGTCTCGGTATAACACAAGGTAAATATTGATTTCTTTAGAAATATTATTTATAGTTTTAAAGAGAGATTATATCTAAATAATGTAGTAATATTAGGGTTTTCGTCGACTTATTTGATGTTTGATAGGTATTCTAGCGTCGCATACATCATTCCGAAGATTTTTATTGATTTTGTAAAAATTTGAAGAATGATAAGGCTACTTTTCATCACTCAATATTTCGAAATTCTAAGTGAGACATTTAAATTCAGCGTGAAACTCGTAGTAGATTTAGAGGGTAAAGCAGTAATAAATAATCGAGAATATAAGAAATATAACACTGCTATGAAAATCATTTTGAACAAAACACTTTTATTCGTTAGCGAGCTTTCGATGTCTTTCTAACATCATCTTCAGGCTGACTAAAATGGAACATTTAACGGAGGTATATACAAAAAGACAAAGATGGCTGTTCCTTCTTATTTGTTCTTGAAAAGAAAAAACCGTTCTACTATATAAGTAAGTAAGTTAAGTGCCTTATCCGTTGCAGACGTTGGCTAACATGATACGCCAATTTCTCCGGTCTTGTGCTGCGTGAAGGAAGACTATTTTCTCATATCCTTGTTTTCCAATCCAGATGTTCGTGTTTTCGAGGTACTTGATTCGTGGTCGGCCTTTACCTTTTTTCCCATTGATTTTTCCACTTAGTACCAGGTGTTCCAAGCAACGTTTACGGATTATATGACCAAGGAATTTCAGTTGCCTATATCGAATGGGTATTCAGCATATATATGATGAACATATGAATAGCAAAAAGAAATAAAGAAAAAAAGAAACTAATATTGACTTGATCTATATTCATTCTCAAAATTCAACGAACGGTTTTTCTTTTCAAGAACAAATAAGAAAGAGCCATCTTTGTCTTTTTGTATATAACTCTGTTAAATGTCTCATTTTAGTCATCGTGAAGATGATGCTAGAAAGACATCGAAAGCTCGCTAACGAATAAAAGTGTTTTGTTCAAAATGATTTTCATAGCAGTGTTATATTTCTTATATTCTCGAAGTAGATTATACATTTTAATTCGTTGAAAATAGATAACTTTTATTGTTCAGTCGTTTTGACTCATAAAGAGAGAACAAAATTTTTTTCGAAATCAATCCTGATGTGGTCTGCATATATGAAATCAATACCTGTCTATTAGATTAGCACTTCATGAAAATACCTCAAAGCAAAAGCAATTTCTTTGGCTAAGATGCTGGTGATTCGGAAGGACCAGGGCGGATAAGGTTGTTTTCCCCCTCTCAAAACTTTCGCCTTTTTGTACTGGAGCCACGTCAGGGCATTGCCTAGGAACATTTCCACACACTTAGTTTAGCGAAATCTGCCGGCCGGATTTTTCACGTCTGAGGTTCTCCACAGGCTTTTCGGAAAAACCTTTGGTCGTTTTTTCATCTTGAACCATCTAGACCTATGCAGTCCACTATGCTGATCACGAATATCATCTTGAAACTTCTCAAAAGTGTTCGAATAGCTCAGGAAAGTTTTTGACTGACAAAGACCTATCACCTAAAACCGAAGCTTTCAAGCCCTACAGTTCACAGTGAGCATGGAAGATATGTCAAAAGCAACATTTTGTGTACAGGAAAACGTGTTCTATTCCATGGCCGCAAAAACGACATTTTTTGGAAAACTCTTGTACTCGTAATTTTCGAAATGCTACAAAACCTTTTCGGCTTGTGAAGCAGGAGCCGTGTTCGAAGCAACTTGAAACTTTGTCACATGACACAACTTTCACAGCTCTTTCTAGCTATGGAACAAAAAGTTCGAAAACAGGTTAAGAGGCCTCCAGAAAACTTTACCAAGATCCTCTAGTTTTTGAGAAAACTTGGTTACTAGTAAAGAAGTAACTAATTTAGTTATTTCGTTACCAGTAACGAGCTCTATAGTGAACGAGAGAGGCATGTTTGTGAATAGATTAACGGCGTCGAAAGAACACGTTATTAATGATAAATTAAAGCGTGTAAGATGTTTAACAGGATCGACAAAAATGATTAAATCTTTAACGATACTAGGCGAACTCTGTTCTTCGGCAATATGACGAAACGTTCTTGTGTCATCACGATCCAACTTCCCTGCTCTACGCCTTTTATCCCGTTTCTAGATCATGATTGAAGGATTTTTAGATAAATTGCGTAAAGTGTTTATAATTTGACGATGTCGACAGGTTAGATTTAATGTGACGTATCAGATTATCTGTTAATTTTTAGTATTTCTATACAAAATTATTAGGCTTTGAAACTTATTGTCGCGAGTATGAAGAACGAGATTCGAATGAATCAGTTATATAATCTGAAACCTGAAGATTTTAGCTATTTTAATTAAACAAAATAAAAATTTAATGGCTGCTTTTAATCAAATACTTATCCAAGTCGACTTTCTTGCTGGTGTGAACGCGGATCGCGCTAAGGCCGCGCAACTCACGCCGCGGTAGCGATCAACTCTTATTATAAAAATAACGCGTGATTCGCGATCGCGACGCGACAACTTTTTCTTACAACAATCGTGCTGCGCCACTCGCGGTAAGATAACTTTTTTGGTGAAGTTTTAAAACCGCGCCTTTTTCTTGAATTCGCTCCTCGATTCGCTATAAGACTCTCGGCGCGACTTTGTTATACTTCTCAAAAAATCAACTTGTTTCATTCGCCGCGCGAACGCGCTTTTAGGCGTCTAACGAGGGAATCTGCTGAGGTGCTAAAAACCTTTTTGAATGGGACTATTTTAAAAATGTAGGTCCTCATCGGCTATGAAGAACCCCAAGTTCGTTCGAGCGCAATCAGCTTTGTTGCTGAGATATCGAATTTTTACTCGAATTTTCCCTATGAGATCGAGATTTCAAACAAAAACAGAGTTTTGAATTTCATGTTGTAACATATCACATATTGTAGTCCAGACCAATTGTAGTCCGATAAAAAGGCCGAGCTGAAAACCTCTTTCCGCAGCGGTGAAAGTACCTTTTCCAAAGGTAAAACATGGAGCAAGTTTTGAAAAAGTTCTTTCACCGAAAGAGGCCTTTTTATCGGACTACAATCGGTCTGGGTTACAATATGTGATACGTTACAACATGAAATTCAAAACTCCTTTGCTTGAAATCCCGTTCCCATGGGGAAAATTCGATATCTCAAGCAACAAAGCTGATTGCGCCCGCATCAAGTTCGAGTTCTTCATAGCCCATGAGGGCCTACATTTTCAACATAGTTCCACTCAGAAAAGTTTTTAGCATCTCAGCAGGTTCCCTCGTTAGACGTCCAGCATATCATTCCAACTGATTTTGGAAAAATTTTCAAAATCATCTCATATGTTAGTAATTAATCATCGTCCGAAATGGATAAGGGTGATAGTCCAAAAAAAGAAATGGCGCCGGGACTAATATAAGTCTCGTTTAGAAAAGTAGAACCGCGGCTTATTTCGCGAGTCGTACAGCGAACGCGTTACGCGAACTCGCCGCAAATTTTTACAGAGACTCGCTATAAGGTAGTGGACTTGGGTTGTACTGCTCCGTTCTTTGGCTCTTAGTCGTTTTAATTTATATTCTGCATTTTTTATCATACGTCAATATTTCTTTGCTTGAATGGACCAATGATTATTCAGCTAATTGATAACCTGGAGAAAAGGAAGAAAATTATATCGCCTTGTTCTTCCGGTAGTGATTGACACTTCTAAACTATTGTCTGTGCTTAAATAATAAAAACCTATTGATTCACGGAGGTAAAAGAATTGATCAAGCAAACTTTCCTCTCTTCTGCAGTCTGTTTTTGATAATTATTTCAATTACTGCATTTGTTTTATTATTCATTTTACAGGTATTCTTACATTTTTTGTGCAATTAGTACTCCAATTAGCTGCTTATCAAGGTAGTAAAAAACTTCATTCATCTATTTTACATGGGGTATTACGAGCACCTATGAACTTTTTCGACACCACTCCAATCGGTCGTATCGTTAATCGTTTTTCTAAAGATATTGATGCTATTGGTGAGTGAAATTGAAAACAAAAATTATTTTAACCCTAGCTTTCAATAAAATATGATAATGTCTGTTGTAGATATAGCATTACCACTATCATTTTCATTAGCATTAACTATTGGAGTTAGCTTTATAACAACAATAGTTATTTTAATTTATGGTTCTTACTTTGCTATAGTTGCATTGATACCATTAGGTATCGCATTTGCATTTACACAGGTAATACCGACACATTTATTTATTCAAAATCGACATGATAGCATACTCTTTTCTAAACCTATTTTTATTGCTTCTTTTTTCCTTGCTTACTTACAGCGTGTCTATATATCAACCTCAAGACAATTACGACGGCTTGATTCGGCAACACGTTCACCTGTTTATTCAAATTTTGGTGAAACGATACAAGGTCTGAAAAAAACTTGTTTAAAAAGCAGCTTGACCAATGTACATGCATCTCAGAGCATTATTATCGGCAGGCACGTTCAGAACGTGCGAAGCAGTTGAAGGATAATTACTGCCCAATAAACTTCACATTTTCTTTCTATTTACAAGGTTTATCAAGTATAAGAGCTTATAATGCACAACAACGTTTTATCGATTTATCAGATAATTTATTGGACACAAATCAAGCATGTTACTTAGCCAGTTGTGTTGCTAATAGGTATTTATTTTGTTTCTTTTACTAAGAAGCTAAATATCTACTTCCTTAACTGTTAGTTCTTGAAATAATGAACAGAAAATATTGTTTTTTTGTAAGGTACTGACAATCCAAGGTTTAAGCAAAGCCTTTTCTTTCGTTTTATTTGCACATGTTTGAATATAGTCTGTAGAGTTACGTAAGAAAAGTCCATTTTGAAGTTTGAAAACGTTTTTAAGGGACAAAATTCAGAAATATTCAAATTGTACAATGGTGTTAAATCTGTAAAATTTTCGTAAAAGCCAGATTTTTCAGTCTTATGGTTGCCTCTAACTTTCAGAACTGCTTTATTCTGATTGCCCATGTAAAACTGAGTGTATCTCGATTTCGTTCTAGTCCAAGATTAAAGCTTAAACCAGTTGAGTATAGAAAACTAGATCCGGCATAATTAGACATGACTAAAAAATCTTTAAACACGAGCAGAACTGTTTATAGGCTCTCGTGGCCCATTGAAAACCTATCTATATTTTCCAGTTTCTTCTTATGCGGTGCCGGTAACTTTTCTAGGGACACTGGGGAAGGATGCAGTTTTCTGTACGTTCTGTCCTATAAACTCTCATTCCGCTCTTTATTTGAACTTTATATGGTAGAATTTGAGAAAAGATTTTATTTTTTGACTGGAAGGCTAATCAGGCGCAAAATGTGATGGTTTTGCATGATATGATTCACACTGTCTTGTTCCTAACTTTTCTATAGTTCATTGTATCAAGAATTCAAAAGGTAGATACAGTTTGCGCATGTAGGTGATTCTTTTGAAAGCGCACCAGAGTTTACATGAACCTTGTCCAAATTGGTCGAAGTACAACTCGGGCTCCTAATGACGAATATCACGTTTAAAAAGTTTTAAAACAACGGTAGTGGCCATCTACACCTGTGAAAATCACATTTCCCGGCAAAACAGCCTTTTTATGGGCATTGTCACCATTTTCTAGTGAAACACTTTCATGAGCTGGTACCGTCAGATTAGGTTTTATGTGTGCAGGGCAACAAAATTACTAGCGGATAAAACGTTCCAAAATGTTAAGCATGTTCTCAGGAAAATTTTAAAAAGGTCCTTTTTTTCGAAAAGTAGGCCTTTTTTGCAAACCATATTTTCTCCATAAAGTCATATCAACACAAGACAAAAAGATATGCGCTCGACGCATCTTTTCAAGCTTTGCCTGATGAAGTTGTTCGAACTGAGATTAGAAAATACTTAATGCTGGAATACAACAACTTATGGAGACGATTTTCCTTGTTTTTCAAAGTTTGAGTACGTGCTGCACCACTGTACGTGATTGCATGACGTGGGATGACATATGTTTTGCATATACTCGACGTGGGCTCGTAGAAAACTCTACGTGTTTTAAAACTTTTCAAACGTGATATTTGTCATCAGGAGCCCGAGTTGTAGTAGTCCTCTTAATCTCGAATAATTTGGACAAGGTCCATGTAAACGTGGTACGTTCTCGAAAGAACAATCCATGTGTAAGTTATTTTTACTGTAAATAAAAACATCCTGGATATAGTATTACAACGGTTCAGCTGCTTCATTCAAATATTCACTGTTTATTTGTATCTTTTAGATGGCTTGCTGTCCGTTTGGATCTAATCGCAAATCTTTTAACGCTATCAACAGTTATATTTGCTATCTTAATGAGAGAACGATTAACTCCTGGAGTTGTTGGTTTATCCATCACATCTGCTATGCTTGTAAGTATTGTCTTTTGTAAAGTTCCTCCATACATGGCTCTAAGAAGTAGACGAGTGAACCAGTGACGCCAAAACTTTGGCGATTAGTCGCCATTTCGGATTAAATCGCCCATTAATCACAATTAGTAAGCGATTTATCTTGGATGGTTTAGCTAATCGTCATTAATAGAAAAGTGGGCGAATTTAAACTGAAAGTTAAAATATAGAATTCTTAATAAAATATCGCTACATAATCGACAAAATCACTAAAAAATCATCGATTAATTACAATTAATCGCAGATTTTTCTCGCGATTTTTAGGACGAAAGAGGCCACATGAAAGCGTTGATACACGGAATCGCTCTGTCAGTAACGCTGGCGTACTAGACGAAAAATGGGAGAAAATTTTACCTAGTGAATGTACTTGAGCTAAGCATTTGCGCAAGTACTTGGATTAAATAATGGGGATAGTACTTGTAGACTTTTCCAAGTATATTCACTTGTCAAGTACTTGAGAAAGTATTTGACAAGCAAAATGTAAGTACTTGGCTGACACAATACAAGTAAATTCACTTCAAAAGCCTTAGTCCATTTATTAATTAAGTACTATATATACACGGTCACTAAGTTTGTTCAACTCACTAGAAATATATAAGTTTGTTTTATAAGTATATAACGATGGATATTGCGGTATTAATCTACAGGTGGTTAATGCAAAAGAAAAGGGTGGCTGTCTTGTCTAACTACTTGACTAAAGCATGTCATGTAACGACACTTGGCAAGTCCTAGCTCAAGTACTTCCCAAGTGCTAAACTTGTTACATACTTTCCAAGGAATCATCAAGTAATTAAGCACTTGTACTCATTACATTCACTAGGTTCCCCACCACCCAGGGGCGACAAAGCACATTTCGTCACCCCGTGAAGTGCCGAAGTGCTCGGAGTGGCTTCGAGTGCCACGAGCTTAAGGAAAATTTATTGAACTGAACAGTCCCAGAAATCTCTGTTCCAACAAGCAGAACAAAACGGTTCTGTCTGTAGGAAAATAATTCACATAACAGAACACAATTACTCCGTTATCAGGGAATATCCCTTAAAAAAGAACAGGATTGTTCTGTTTTAGGAACACGCTTGCTCTGTTTTTTGGGAAAAATATTGAGAAAAATATCACTATTTTATTCTAAAAGAAAACAACACACTTCGCCACTCCGGACCATTGTACGGAGTACCGGAGTGCGATGGAGTGTACTTTACCCTGCGGAGTGGCTGGAGTGCGGTTTTCGCCCCTTGCCACCACCGCTAAGGTACAGCACGGATGTGACGTAACGTTGATATGGCTTAGCTTAAGGATTTAATTTTGTAATGGGATGCTTTGCCAAGGATCCAGTTCTTTAACGATATGCTGAAGAAAATGTGAGGTTCATTCCCCTTTTGTACCGTGATAGATGCTAATGAGTGCAACAGAAGCCTGCTTTTGGGGAGGAAGCTTATCTTTAAACTGTAAAGTCTACGTTGACAAGTATTTTTGTTATGCTAATTGTTAACTGCAATGGAGATACATTTTTTTTAGGTTACACAGGCACTTAATTGGTTAGTACGAATGACATCTGATATTGAAACAAATATTGTTAGTGTCGAACGTATTGATGAATATTGTCAACTGCAAAGTGAAGCAGCTTGGGAAATACCCGAATCAAAACCGCCATTACATTGGCCAACAAGCGGGCAAATACAGTTAGTAATTTTCTTATTCTCTTATCGTATTTACGATATATACATGTCTTTTTTACTGTTGTTATTAAAGGTTTCAACAATTATCTACAAGATATCGAGAAGGTTTAGATCTTGTTTTAAAAGAGTTAACATTCGATGTTCGACCAGGAGAAAAGGTAATAAATATAATTCAATTAGCGCGTTTGTTACTGTTTCTTAGTACTTATAAACTATTCATAAATCCCTCAGTCTTGCTGTGAAACTAGTTTACAGAGAATTTGGATAAAACATACACCGACAGGAGCGACTCATCAGCAAAATTTTGCATAGGAAATGATTGTTGTGGTATGAATACTTTTACAATATTATCTAGATTGGTATTATTGGAAGAACTGGTAGTGGAAAATCGAGTTTATGTATTACATTATTTCGTATTATTGAGCCTGTCACAGGTCAGATTATTATCGATAATGTTGATATCACCAAAATTGGTTTACATGATGTTAGATCTAAAATAACAATTATACCACAAGTAAGTGTATGCATACAAGAGAATGTTCATCGAAATAGTGTAGCCTGGTCTTGAATTTGTTACAGAAAAGTTTCCACACACATTTTAGTATCTGGTAGAGAAACAGGAGACATTTGAATGGAAAGGTCGACTACTTATTTAGTAGATGTACCATAACAATATATTTTATGAGAAAGTTTACAAGGGAGAGATATAATTTCTTTGATTTAAAACCAGCACTTCCTGAATTCTTTCCGTTTTAGGATGCTGTCATATTTGCGGGTACAATACGTTTTAATTTGGATCCATTTGGTACATATAGTGATGAAGAAATATGGAATGTGCTAGAATTAACACATCTGAAACATCATACAGCAGCTCTGAAAGACGGTCTTTCATATCAGTTAACTGAAGGTGGAGAAAATTTAAGGTAATAAATAAAGATAGGTCCGAGATTTTATTTGCATATTATTCACTGTTTGTTTATTTTAGTGCTGGTGAAAAGCAATTATTGTGTATAGCACGGGCATTACTACGTAAAAGTAAAATATTTGTTTTAGACGAAGCAACAGGTTAGACAAAATAAATAAAGAGTAGTAATAATTCTTGATGAACTACAATTTTATTCGTTTGTGTAGCTGCTGTTGATATGGAAACAGATCGATTAATACAAGAAACAATACGTACTGCATTTAAAAATTGCACAGTTTTGACTATCGCGCATCGTTTGCATACAATACTGGATAGTACAAGGTTTGTCTTTCTCATTTCAATTAATCATTGCTAATTTTTGCCTTATCTATTGTTTTTTAAAGAATTCTTGTTTTATCAAACGGCTGTTTACAAGAGTATGATAAGCCTGACAAATTAGCATCAAATCCAAAATCACAATTTTCGAAATTATTGAAGGATGCTGGAATTCGACCATCAGAGATTCAAAACTTATCAACATTCGCATAAGACCGTCCATTGTCTGCGCATTTCATGCATAATAATAATAACGAAAATAATAGATAAATATAGACACCTTTCCTGCGTCATTCTTTACGTATTCTGTACAGTAATTCAGTTCTTGCTTTGTCAAAATTTAAAATATGGTTTTATTTACATGTTCCTTTTTTCCTTACTCTTTTGTAATAATAATGTGTTGTTTGGATGTCTGTGTCGAAATAAGAAGTGCTACAAAAAGATCCAAATTCGATTTAAACAGAAAGTGAAATCGACCAACGGCCGTTCTTTTGTTAACCCGACGGCTATCAGAAATGGTTTTAAATTATGTCTGTGACAGTTTCAGTCAAATTGCAAGATAGATATAAGAGCTCCATATAGACTGCACTGAAGCTTTTCTGAGTTCATGGACTCGGACTGGATTGGTCTAGAAAAAGTTTTGAATTCACTTGAATAGAAGAATAATCAGCAAAACACAAGTTATTTTTGTATTGCGGACTAGAATGGACTACTTTTTTAGTATCTATGGACTGAAAAAACTGTTTTTCATGGACTAGATTCTTTTAGTCCATCGACTATACTGAACTCAGGATTTTGAGTCCACACGAAACTCTGACAGTAAGGGGACACCTTCTATATCCTGATCGGGATATATATCCCGATTGGGATATAGCTATATCCCGATCAGGATATAGAAAAAAAGTAGTATCCCGATCGGGATATAAAACACGAAATTTCGTC